AGTGAATATTATATAATGCATGAAGGGTAAACAATACATCATACCGTACTCGTGTTAAGAAATTTTATAATATTTTAATTATTTATTTATAAAATAAAGATAATGAGGATCGAACTTGTCACCACTCAATTATAAAAATTGTGATACTATGTAAATGATTATTTTAACCTAATCCAAGAGTTTCAGCTTATAGGTAAAGATTACTTTAATATTTTTATATATAAGTCAAATCCGAAATCATTAGTTCGTTATGCAACGTTACGTAGCAGACAAAGAATGAGGAATTCAAATATCAAACTCATCAACAAGCCAACACAGTTCACAGAAAATGTGGAAAAGCAGCAAATTAAAGTCATAGCACGCTAATGAAATTGCAACGTTTGCTCGACTCCTTTTACCAAATATAGTAAAAAAATAACAATTTTACACTACACTTACTTTTATATTTATTTTCACCCATATCTCACATTTTTTTATGGGTGCGTCGTTTCTCGTGTAACTGCTGATGAGAAAAGTTGCAGCAAATTTTTAACATTAAGATACACGTGCGGATCTTAGGATACACGTGCGGATTCTATCAAAAAAAAAAAAAAAACCAGGATTCGGACGCGTATCCTGTGTTACTGCACTTTTTCTCTTCTGCAGTCACATAAGAAGTACTTTCTCCTTTTTTTTATTTTTGGGCAAAGAATATATAGTCGAGGACCACAGAAAATGAGCTTGTCTGTTGGATGGTTCAGCAAATATTTGAAGCTCAAAGTTCTTGTGTTCTGTGCTCCATCTATCACTTTGTGTCAGTTAGGAACCTTCGGAGAAAAAAATTCGTCAAATATTAAGCCTTTCTTGTCATTCTTCTGCACTTTGCCATACTACACATTTTTCTTAATCATCTTTCGTATGGACAGGCCGAGATGAAGCATAAAAGCAGCTCTAGAAGTGGTTTAAAGCACACCCAAAATGAGGACAAGTTGTATTAGTTGTCATTCATTAAGGTCTTTTTCTAATCCACCCAAATTTGGCTCGACATAATTATGCCCTTTTTGTATTTAAAGAGTGGAGTACTTCCTTTCATATCACGGTCAAAAGTTCCTTATGAATTAATTGTTGTTAATTACTTGTTAGGACTTATGCTTCAGCTGCGTTGTATGTTTGCCTCCCCTAGAGAAAATTGATGATAACATTAATGACCATATATAATGATCATGGCCAAGAATAACAACAACCGCATAATCACGTGTTTACTTTTTATAATAATAGTTTTTGAGCTAATCCAACAAAATATAAAAATGTTATAATTATACTTGAAAAATGTATTCTGATATATTATAGAATTGTGTAAATATTTTATACAAAGGTTCTCTATTTATAGAGAATACAAGACCTAGAATACTTGACCTAATGGGCTAAGCCCAATACAACAAATAATAAATAAATAAATAATATTAATATTTACAACACTCCCCCTCAAGCTGAGGAATATATATTTATCATTCTCAGCTTGCTAGTAAGCTCTTGAAATCTATCTGAAGGAAGTTCCTTTGTCAATACATCAGCTAATTGACGTCCGGTGGGAATGTAGGGTGTGGTAATCAACCCGCTATCAAGTTTCTCTTTGATGAAATGGCGGTTGACCTCAATATATTTAGTCCGATCATGTTGAACCGGATTATGAGCTATACAAATAGCTGACTTATTATCACATAGCAGCTTCATTGGTCCCTCACATTTTATTTTGAGATCATCAAGTATAATTTTCAGCCATAGTAACTCACAAATGCCTTGAGCCATGGCTCGAAATTCAGCCTCTGCACTTGATCTGGCAACCACATCTTGTTTCTTACTTCTCCATGTCACCAAGTTACCACAAAGAAACATACAATAACCAGTGGTAGAATGACGGTCCGTCACAGATCCAGCATAATCAGCATCAGTGTAGACTTCTAAAGAGAGATTGCCATCTCGCCAGAATAACAGTCCTTTACCAGGAGTAGCTTTAAGATACTGAAGAATTTTCTCCACTGCCTGCATGTGTTTCTCCTTTGGATCATGCATAAACTGACTGACAACACTAACAACATAAGCTAAGTCTGGTCTAGTATGGGCCAGATATATCAATTTCCCAACTAGCCGTTGATATTGTCCTTTATCAACTGGAGGACTCTCCTCTTCAAAGCCTATCTTGTGATTCTGCTCAATAGGAGTATTAGAGAGTTTACACCCGAGCTTTCTTGCTTCTTTGAGAAGATCCAAAACATATTTCTTCTTACTGATAAAAATTCCTTTGCTTGAATGAGCTACTTCTATCTCTAGGAAATATCTCAGTTTCCCAAGGTCTTTGACTTCGAACTCAGAGGCAAGCCATGTCTGCAGAATCCGTCTCTCCACAAAATCATCACTTGTGATAATAATATCATCAACATATACAAGGAGCACAGTAAGCTTCCCATTTTGGGAGTGCTCGAAGAAAAGAGTGTGATCTCCTTGACTCTGTCTGTATCCTAAGGTCATCATAACCTTAGTAAACCTTCCAAACCAAGCACGAGGTGACTGATTCAATCCATACAAAGTCTTTTTTAATCTACAAACTCTATTTTCCCCCTCACAGAATCAAAACCAGGCGGGATTTCCATGTAGATATAATTATACATAAGGGGGAACCAAAAATAGAACACTGAAAGATTTGCCATCTTGAAGTGATTGATTATACACAGTTCTCCAGCTAAAAGGTCAATGTCATATAACAAGCCGCCAAACCATAGGAAGATTTAAAAACAATTGGAAAAACATTCCTACATAGGTTTTCAACCGGTTAAGGTTAAGGAGCTTCTCTTGTAGGGGTGTCTCAATTATTGTCACCTTTGACAGAATATAAAAATCAAGACCCCTTTTTTTGGTTGAAGAAACATGGAACTATGGACACGAGAGTGCCATACTAAGATGCATTTTGACTTGCAGGTAGTTTTACAGCATGGTTTCTTTAAATTTGCGTAGAGGTCATGATTTCATCCACCTTTTTTCTGTTGGACTTGTTTAGTGTTAACATTTATCTATAGCTCTTGGAAGTTATATCAAGGAAGCTTTATTCTGCCAGCATTTCCAGACAACTGCAGGCCCCCCCAAAAGCTCATTTTGACTTAGAAAATTATACAGTGTAAACTTTATTCGTGTATGTGTTTTCCTTCACATTACGTAGATTTCTGGGCCAGACAAGGTTTTGGTCGTATTAGGGATACGTCCTTAAAACATTCAATAACTTTGGTTTTAGATAATGAACATGATGGTGGAAATCCATATCGAAGACTTGTGTCCACAGGAATATGATGGTACATACTTAGCTGGATCACACATGTGTTCCAACTTGCCAGAATTCCCCATCTTATCTAAATACAATTTCTCATGTTTATGTGTCCAAGACGCTTCTACCTAAATGACTAAACCATAGATTTTAAATATACAAGTTGGGATTTATCTCAATTTCATTTTTGATTTAAGTCACTTTGGATGTTTCTCTTCTAAGTTCTAACTAGTAAATTGCATATAAAGTACCATAAAGTGGAGACTTTTTATTCTTGTATCTAGTACTGAAGTCTGAACACTGGCTTCTTCTATCTACAAAAGGAACAATCATGTGTTACGAACATATGTGACTAGAATTGTTGATTTTTCCTCTTTAGTTTTGGAATAAGGTCATTTTGTTTCTAATTTGAAGAAAAGATCCTGAATCCCAGAACAATATTTTCTGGTTACTTTATTACAAAACAATTTTACTGGTGAGAGAACTTGATTTTATTTATTTTTTCTTTATTGCATTTAAAATATGCTCTCATAGGCATATCTATCACCACTTATTGGTACATAATTACATTCTAAGAAAGCACAATACTTGAGGGTCTGCTGCAATTTCACAAAGCAGCTGAACAAAAAATTATATTAATACAAATCTTTGTGACTTTATGTTCCTCTTTTCATTTGTACAATCTAACTCTCATCTCTTTGTATACATGCTTTTACCTTTAAACGACTTTTCTTTGTTAAGCTTGCGAGTGAAGTTTGGCATATTGCTTCTGTGCCATCATTAACGATGGATCACCATCACTATCTTCTCTTTTACCCTAGTGGCAAGCAAAAGGGAAATCCTTTACTTGAGAGCTGAGAATAAACTCAAGGTCAAAACCTTCAAAAGAATAAAAACTGATCAGAATATCAAAACTTTAATTACAACACCAACTAAGGGTACTATATGCCTCCAATATCAGTACAATTTTTGTTACTCTAAGGTGGTAGCTAAGTAGATAAAAAGGGTTCCCTCTGTTTTAACTATGGTTTGGTCGTTTTTAGCTATGTAACATCATACAAAATTACAATTAGGTACTTGATAATGCAATTTCCAAAGTAGATTAATCACAAAGCAAAGACATATAAACGAACAAAATGCAGATGAAGTTCTAACTTGTTCAAACAGAACCATTTTTATATGCATGAATGATTCTTGATGAAAACAAATCTTACTATTACACGAAAATCCTAGTATGAAAAGCAAACTAGGAGTAGTGTAGAACGTGGACTCCAAATCATGTGACCCAAGAAAGAATCTCCTCAACACCCCAAAGAAAAAAAAAAAAAAAATGAAAGAAAGAAAGGAAGAATCTTCTCTGAAACTTACGTATATAATAAGGACCCCATGAAAAATAATGCATGGCCATATCAATAACTTTAGTCATCTTTCTGTCAGTCTCTCTCTCTCTCTCTCTCTCTTGTTCTATTTTTCTCTTCCCTACCTCTCCACCCTTCCTCTGTCTGCCATATATACATAAAAAGTTGAGGGGAATGTCGTCTGGTTCGAGATCATTCATGCAAGTAGTCTCAGACATAACTCTTGTGAGTGATTTCGGACCAGGCTTCATTCCCCTCAGCAACCAAGCAGACACTAATATCTTCCTCAAGTACATAGACAACCTTCCTCTCTTTTGAGTATTCTCCTTGTTGTGCTCTAGGACAAGTCCTTAGGCACCAGAGAAGGATTGCAAAATCGGCTATGCAGGATTAATTGGTAATTGGATAAGCTTCCAGGTGGGTATGTCTCAAAATTTCAAGTTCTTACATTTCATATGCGGCTTATCTTGTTCATGTTCTTAAGAATATATGTGTTGGTTTGTTAATATACTCTTCTTGTGGAATTTGTTTATTGTCTTTAGGACTTGAAAAGTAAAATAATTTTGTTCTTCTGTGTGGGCTTTCCTTGTATTCTGCTGGGTAACTATCTCTTTAATCCGCTCCAGATTCATAACATTTCTTCTGTTTATACCACCAGGTGGGGTGTTTAACCTTTGTGGCTCAACCTGAACATGAAAAAGCGAAAACTACAAAAGATGTGAGAACGAAGGAAGTTCTGTAAGTGGAATCCATTTATTTGAAGTGGTCCATAGTTGCTGTAACTGATGTAATAAAAAGATTATCACAAGATTCCTCATTACTTTTTTTGTTATCCCACAATAATCACATGGAAAAGCATGCACCATAAGACATAAATATCAAAGGACAGGCTCTGTTGGGATCACAATCAAGGGTCATTCCCAGCATAAAGCTTAGGCTCACATAGTCAATATAATTCATCTTTAATTGATACTGATATAGGTAAATATGTTATTAGCTAAATCTGAATGATTGTGTGTGATACTGTTTCTTATCCAATCATTTGCTTCTGAATCTGATTTGATTGTCTTCTTGCACAGTTGCGCTCTAATGTCAGTATAGAGAAATGGTGAAATAATAGTATTACAATAATGTAATCTGAGCAGTGACATAAGATAGCCGAAACGAGAAAAGCAATAGCTAGCTGCAACCTATATCAAAGTACATCAAATTTTGTGGATCTATACACTGGCATAGCTTAAATCAAAGGAATAGTACTAGTTTATATATATCAACTAGTACTATTCATCTAACAGTTCGGCCTGCATGATTCAATCCAGGGTCATTTTGACTGAAATTGCTGTTACAGGTGACAGAAACATCTAGACAATAGCCTATGTCCATTCTCTATAAGCATCTTCTGAGTAGAACAATTCTTAAACATATATATACTCAAAATTGTGCTCAAATTAGCAACCATGTGTTGATCAGAACTTGTCTTTTGGCCCCACATGTTTGCTGTAATCAAATGCATGTTAGATTCATCTGTGTCATCATTTTATTTTGATACAAATGAAAGAACAAAGAACAGCTACAGCCTTAAAAAAAAAAAAAATTTGCATGGTCATCCCAAAGCAAACTCCAATGTTGGATGTGGTTCCAAAAGAGTTCCATTAGATTTGCCAGACACATTTGCATAAAAGAATTGCATCAAGCCTTAACATCTTTTATCTTCTGGTCAATTAATTAGACAACTTATGTCATATTCAAACAGGATAACAAAGAAGAAAAGTTGGAAGCAAATTCAGACATCCCCGATATCTTTGGTCTCTTCAAAAGTAAGTCCAATAGTGTTGTGACTGTAGAGGCATCTGGTGACAAATTTCTCTCCAACAGTGTAAAAAAGTTCAAAAACTTTTGCTGAATTATTTTCTTGGCAGAAACTATGCAGAACTGTATCATTACTCGTTAGTAACTACATTTGGAGAACAACTGGTCCTCTCTCTCCATTTCCAGAACAAATTTCCCTGCTTCTTCAAAACTCCCATTTTTACAAAGCCTTTTTGGCAAAACTCAAAAGACCTTTTTGACATATTTTGGAAAATAAATGGCAAAAAATTTCAAGTTTCCCTGTATTAACACAATACATTAATGAGAGAATTTTACATTTTTTCAAGTCAATGCCTTTAAATTATTAAACAACTATTCTTGCAAAGCCAATCCAATAATATAATAATATAGGAGATTGAATCTGGTACCATGTCATGAAGCTGCATTGGATCAAACCTCCTCTATTGTAGTTTTATATGTGATATTGATTGGCAAATGGCAAAGCAGCCTTGTGAATTATCTCCTCATAAACATTCATAGCTTCCTCTATTTTCTGATTTTTGCTGTAACCATTGATCAATACACTGTTGCTCACAACATCAGCTACATGCCCTTTATTTGTTATTAAATGACTATTGAGCCAAACAAGGACTTGGTGGCTTAGTTTCAATTATTAATATGTTTGACTACATTAATATACAAACTCCAAGGCAGGATTTTTACCATATTTAAATTATATTATTAACTAAATAAACACATAAATATGATTATTGTAATAATAGGAAATATTAATATTAAAACGTTATACTTGATCTTATTTAAATAAATAAGCTTGTTCCAAATTAATTCCTAAAATAGTTAGAATATTTCATAAGATTTCTTAAGTTTAAAGGAGAATAACAACTTTATTAAGCTAAATATTATCAGAACACAATCGAGTTAATTGTAAAATTATTTATAAACATGTGTATGCATACTTTTTTTTTTATTTTTTACCTTAAAAAAATAGTTGATTTTGGAAATCATTTGAATTTCAACAACATACACAATAACGATATGCGAGAAAAGAGAGGGTTATAATTGAGATTTGATCAAATATCCTTGAATATCAGATACTTGCTTCATTTTATCACAGTTTATATCATTCAAAAAAAAATTAATATTAAGATGACAATAATATCCTCAAGTAGTTAAAAGAAAATTCTATATTAAAAAAGTTATGGACAATAAATCAAGGGTTTAGTGTGCGTCATTTAAAAGGACACAACTTGTGTCCTTTTAGTAACTTACACAGAGTATGACCGGTCATACTCTGTGTAATTCTGAAAAGTTGCTTTTTTTTTTCACTTTACACGTCAGCGATGTGACTGAGGAGAGAGAAAAAAAAAGCAACTTTTATGATTTATACAAAATATGACCGGTCATACTTTGTGTAAATCATTTAAAAGGACAAATTTGTGTCCTTTTAAATGATAGTTCTTTTCCCATAAATCAATACTTCTAGAATACTTTTTTTCTTTTTTTTCATGTTTACCTTGCCTATCAATATCCAACACTATTAGATCATAATCTAAGAGAATAAAAAAATGGTAAAAATTAATTGAAATTCAAATATAATAATATTAGAGAGTAATAGGCAAGATATGTATAGAAAAAAAAAATAGATAGAATAATCTATCTCATCACTTATATTAAAATTACTTATTGATAAATGGATAAGATATAATTATCATACATAAAAAAATCCCAAGTGAGCATGATTCCTTATCTCCTCTCTCTCTGCATGAGTGGTTGAGATGTTCTATAACTAAAAATTTCTGTTGGGCTACTTCAAACATGAACATGTAATTTTTCCATAGAAGTAAAAGGAAATGGAGAAACTGAAAGGCAAAAAGAATAAGAAACAAAAAGTAGTAACAATAGTGAGGGAGTGGTTGAGGTCTAGCTTTTAGTTTGGATTCTACATAATCAAGTATAAACAAAAAGTAAGAGAAGATTGATGAAGGTTTACGTTTGTTGGAAAGTAATTAGTTTACTTTCTACGTTGGAGCAGTTAATAAGCACAAAATGCTCTTGTTTACCTCATCGAGAGCAACACATGAATCGTGTGTTGAAGCCCTTCTCAGAAATCTTTAAGAAGCCAAAGACGTGTGAGCAACAAAAGGTTCCAACCATAGTTAAACTTCCCCCAAATTATTACATCATGACTGTTCCATGGAATGCGAGAAACTGAACTTTTGTAAGCAACATGTTCTTTGCACTTACTATACATATGCAAGACCTCATTAAAGACTCAGTGAAATACTTTTGTTTCACCAATAAGCTGTGTTCAAGAATTAGAACAAGTTTGATCATGACAGACATGTTTGAAAAGCAACCATCTCCTGATGCTTCAAATTATGCATCAAGCAGTGGCCTCTCTGGGGATGATAAAGAGATTGGGTATAGAGCTGCAACATCAAGCCATCAATGTCTTTTGGCCATTAACTCTGCTCTTCACTTCTTACCATTCAAAATTGACCTGAACTTTGCTCGCATGGTAAGAATATATTCAACCCTTCCAAGTGTATTTAGAGTGCAAACTCCCTTGATTATTTAGAAAATGTTCCAATGTAGCTAGCAATACTTAATATATTCTTCATTATAATCCTAGATATGTAACAAAAAAAAACTACTCCTCGTTAAACTCTGACTAGGGAGAATGAGATCAGGACAATCCTTATATATAACCTATAATTGCATATTTACAAAGAGATTATTTTTCGAATTTGAATATATAATTTTTCAATCACAAAGAAACAACTGCACCATTGCTCGGGCTCTTGCCTCTTCATAATTCTATATATATAATGATGGAAAAATATAGAGTGAAAAGCTACGTATGGGATATGGGGTGGCAATTTGGACTTTTACTAATGAGAGAAGGATGGATAAGTGTCATCAATATGTTAAGCAACAAAACCTTGTAGAAGCTGTAAAAGAATTTGAACAGACACCAAATATTCTGATTGTTATTTTCCCCTGAAAAAAAATATTATAATGTCTGATAATATCAGAAATATGAGTTCTTTTTATGTGTAGGTCATGGCAGAGGTGGTGGGTACTTTTATTTTGATGTTCTGTGTATGTGGAATCATTGCAAGCACACAATTCCAAAATGGTGCAGTTGGCCTTCTGGAGTATGCAGCTACAGCAGGATTAACAGTGATTGTGATAATTTTCTCTATAGGACCAATATCTTGTGCACATGTTAACCCAGCTGTCACAATAGCCTTTGCAACAATTGGTCAATTTCCATGGTTCAAGGTGCTAATAAAAAAACAAGACCATAGCCCTTGTTAAAATTCAGGTAGCATAATTGATTAGTTTTATGACTACAACATATCATTCACTTGTTTCTTCAACAGGTTCCAATTTACATAATAGCACAAACAGTAGGTTCTATGTCGGCAACATATATAGGTAGCCTTGTCTATGGCATAAAATCAGATGCTATGATGACACAGCCACTCCAAGGATGCAACTCAGCCTTCTGGGTGGAGGTTATTGCAACTTTCATCATCATGTTCCTGGTTGCAGCTTTGACATCTGAATCTCAATCAGTAAGGACAAATGAACAAAATTACATATTTAAGTTGCTAAATAATGAATTAGAATTTCATTTTTTTCTAAGAGCTAAAACATGAAACACTATACAGGTTGGCCATTTATCTGGCTTTGTTGCTGGAATAGCAATTGGGCTTGCTGTACTAATCACAGGGTACCTACTCACAAACACTAATTTTTTTTAAAAAAAAGCTTAACAAATCATCCATTTAATTAGTTCTTTTTTTTTTCTAATAAAAAAGTCATTTGTTTTTATGTTGCAGCCCTGTCTCAGGTGGATCAATGAATCCTGCAAGATCATTAGGTCCAGCAATTCTCTCATGGAAATTTAAGGATATATGGATATACATCATAGCCCCAAGTGCTGGAGCTGTAGCAGGAGCTCTAATGTTTCGTTTCCTACGTATTAGAGACCAACATTGTAGCACTTTGTCATCACCAAACATCAGTGATGTTCATGTTGGTCGTCCCATACCCTTTTGTTCAAGTTAGTACATGAAGATGAAATATCATGTTTTTAGACAAAGTTAAAGGAACTGCAAAATCAATAGTAATCATTGCCTAGTAGCTAGCTTTAGTAGCTGAATTCTTGATTGTCACTTTTTTTCCCCTAGGGAGAAGTGGGCCCATGATTTTGCTGGCAGAGAAAAATTGGAGTTTATTCTCTGAAAAGGAAGAAGGGTTCAGACATGGATATGTCTTAAGAAACAAAAGGAATATCAGATGATGTTTATCATCATAAGTTGTTGTTGTAATTGGTAAACTTAGTCAATAATGGTATTTTACAAAAATATGCATGCAGAAACTTAAAAATATAATTTTGATAAGATGAGAGTTTTGCAGGCAGGAATCATATCTTATCTATCCATATAATAAAAAAACATGAAAAAAATTCTGATAATATATCAAGGAAAACCTTTTAATTTATAAAGAATTTTCAGTGAATCAACATCAATATCACTTTTATCCTAAATTAATTAAATTGACAGTTTTTTTAATAAAAAAATCAAAAATCAAAGTTGCAAAAAAACTAAGAAGAACTATATGAAACATAAAAAAAAAAATAAAAAAATTATATGACTCTTCACGATATCAATAATTTTTCCCCACTCCATCCTAAGATAAATCATTAAGTAAGTTTCGGTATATTTTTTAAGTAAGTTTCCGTATATTTCGGTAGATTTTTTAATTAAAGCCATTTTTCATTTCATCAGTCTTATTTTATTACATTCTTTTAAGTAAGGTTCGATATATTTCTTTCTTTTTTTTTTTTTTTTTGGGTACTAAGTTGCGGTATATTTCTTTATTTCTTTGGGTTTGCCCGTTTGAATGAGCTTTCATTCATAAAAAAGTTATTTTTTAAAAAATAAAAGTATTTTTGAGAATTTTTAGATGTTTGGATAACAACTTTTAAAAAAAGAAAAATTTAAAATAAAAGTTAAAATGCTGTTTTTTTTATAGTCAATAGTTGGTTTCTTTTAAAAAAAGCAGAAATTAAAAGATAATATAATTTTTTTTTTGGAAAAAAGATAATATAAAGAGTAAAGACCCAAATTGGTCCCTGACAAAAAACTCGATGCCCAAATTAGTCCCTCACAAAAATAAACTCGTTAGATAGTCCCCAACAAAGTGAAACAGGACCCACGTTAGTCCTTCTGTCAATCCAAAATTCACGACGTCAATGACGGTGATGATGTGTAACGTTAATGAGAAAGGTCAGTGCCACGTTGGAGGGGAAACGACGCCGTCTGAAGAAATTTGCTTCCACGTTGCTGTTCAGTTCTCCTTCCTTCTCAATTGAAGAAACAAATTGAACGTTCAGTTCTCATTCCTTCTCAATTTCATCAAAGGAACATCGTCGTATGATTTAGGGTTCTTAAACCAGAAAGAAGGGGATTGAATCGAAGATTGAATCGAAGATTGAACGTTTAGGGTTTGGGATTACTGATTTAGGGTTTGCTGATTTAGGGTTTATCCTTCATTTTGTGCTTATTTGAAACTTGGTGTTTAGGAGATGAATATTTCTTCTGGGAAGGGGAGCTCAAGCCCTTGTAGTTCATTTTGGTTCAGAAGTGAAAGAAGGAGAGTTGTTCCATTGTTCAAATGTGGGAGGCACAATGTTGTTTACACCTCCAAGACCAATAGAAACCCAAATAGAGCATTTTTTTGGGTGCCCCAATTTCAAGGTGAGGTGAATGACCACAAAAAGAAGATTATTGAGCACAATATAAAGATTGATGAACTATCAGTAAAGATGCAGACAGAGTTTGAAAGGGTGGAAAAGGAAATTAAGCATGTGTCTAGGTGTGCTAAGGTGTTTGCTGGATCCATTATTGTTGTGTTTGTAATATGTATAAATCTTGCAAGTAGGGTGGAGTGAAATAAAAAATGTGGTTCTGTTGAGATTTGCTGGTGTATGTACCATTACATGTTGTAACAGTTTTGGAATGTAAAGAAGGACCAGTGTTGAAATATAATGATTTGTTATTCGTGCAATGTATATAGCTTGGCTTATGTATTTGAAGTTATGTTAAGTGGCATACAAAGTGTTGTATAAACTTGATGCAGATAAAAAAATTTGGAAACAATGTATGAACATTAAAGTAAAACTGTGATGGTGTGAAGTATGCAGAAGTTAATTGTGTTAATCATGACTGATATCAGCATGAATAAGGGGAAATGACATTGCTGATCTGTTAATAGAAAATGTACATTCTTGTTAACAGAACTTTAGCAGGGACTAAAAAGGGCCCCCGATAAAATTGTTAGGGACCATAATGGACCTATGAGCTAGAAAATAAGGACTAAAAAACTCCTCGATAGAAAATGTTGAAGGCTAATGGTTTACTAATGCATTGAAGCTACACATGACCCATAAAAGGACACATCAAACAGAACAAAAATACCATTATTGACAGAAACCAGAAAGTGTATCAGCAGACAGATGGTGTGGACCAAAATTTAAAAATTGCAGCATTAAATACATTAATGACAGCAAAGACAGATAGAAAGCAAACATTTCGCATTCATTTCATCACATCCTAGTTACAATTACTAACCATGGCCAACATGCCACAGTCATACAAAAAAAATCCCACTGACATATTTCCATGAAGGCCACTACATATGTGTTCCAAAAAAGCATAATGCTCATACTAACTATGGCCATAACAAGAGGCATACAAAAAATACCTAATGACATATTTCAACAGGACCAATACCGAAGTATTTCCAAAAAAAAAAATACCCTAATTACAATTCCAATCAATTCTTATATCAGTGGCATCCCAAAAATGGCCTAATGTCAATGATTACATAGTATTCCAAGCAATTTTGTGGGGCTGGTCTTGGTGGCTTAAGCCCTGGTGTAGACATGAAGCTCATGAATCTGGCCTTGGTGCCATTACTTGTTGTAGTTACTGTCTCATTGGTCACCCAACAAATATACCTCACCTTGAAATTAGAGCACCCAAAAAATGCTCTATTTAGGTTTCTAATGGTCTTCAAGGTGTAAACAACATTGTGCCTCCCACATTTGAACAATGGAACAACTCTCCTTCTTTCACTTCTAGACCGAATGAACTACAAGGGCTTGAGCTCCCCCTCCCAGAAGAAATATTCATCTCCTAAACACCAAGTTTCAAATAACGCACAAAATGAAGGATGAACCCTAAATCAGTAATCCCCAAACCCTAAACGTTCAATCTTCGATTCAATCCCCTTCTTTCTGGTTTAAGAAGAACCCTAAAGCATACAACGATGTTCCTTTGATGAAATTGAGAAGGAATGAGAACTGAACGTTCAATTTGTTTCTTCAATTGAGAGGGGAGGAGAACTGAACAACAACGTGGAAGCAAATTTCTTCAAACGACGTCGTTTCCCCTCCAACGTGGCAATGACCTTTCTCATTAACGTTACACATCATCACCGTCATTGACGCCGTGAGTTTTGGATTGACAGAAGGACTAACGTGGGTCCTGTTTCACTTTGTTGGGGACCATCTAACGAGTTTATTTTTGTGAGGGACTAATTTGGGCACCGAGTTTTTTGTCAGGGACCAATTTGGGTCTTTACTCTAATATAAATTTTTAAAATACAATTTTAATTTTAACCTTATCCTATCATACCTATTTTATCTCTCCTTATTCTACGATCATACTATTTTATCTCTCCTTTATTGCAGTGTTTAAAAACTCGGCACGACCATCGACCCGGCTAAGGTCACGGGTCACGGGTTCAACCGGGGGGTCAGGGGGTCACTACGCTGACCCGATTTTATATATTAAAAAAATATAAATAGATATATCCTATATGAAAATATTAAAAAACAAATCACCAATCATCAAAGATTCAAAATATACTTAACATAATTCACCAATTACAACCACAAGTCAATATTATACAACCTAATTAAAGTATCAAGATTCCAAAGCACAAAACTCATATTCTAATGGGGTCACTACACTGACCCGGTTCTGCCTCTTTTGAGAAGGTCTCTGACAAAGGAAAATTTAAAGGAAGTAAGAATAAGTTTTTGTTTTCCATCGAGAACCGTAAGGATTTCATTTGAAGGGGTAAAATTCTTACCGTTTCTAGAAGATTCACAGCAGTGAGGTGAAGATTGAAAATATTTAGGTCACTAGGAGAGAAGAGACCAATTAGATTTAGGTTTGCAAGCATTTTTATTTATTTTTTTAATAAAACAATGTTGTTTTATGGAATTTTTTTTTAAAAAAAAACATGCAATGACCCCTCTGACCTGGGAGTCACTGAAACCCGGTGGGGTTTTGGGGGTCGAAGGGATCGATATCCATATATGGTCCAACTTGTGACCCCAACCCTCAGAGGGGAGGGGTCAGGGTTGACCCGGGGGTGGGGCGGGAGTTTAAAACACTGCTTTATTGTAATTTTATATATAAAAAGTGTTTTTTCCTTTATTTTAACATCCAAACAACTTTTTATGCAAAAGTGATTTTCAGATCATACATCTAAACATAAAGTAACTTTATCTTTTAAAAAAAGTTATTTTAAAAAAGCAATGCATAAAAAGTCAATGTTTTTAAAACTCATCTAAAAGTGATTTTCAGATTATACTCTTTGCCTATGTTACACCGACACCGACACGGAACACGAAATACGACACCACACGGCACTCCGACACGTTAATTTTAAATATATTAAATTTTGACACGTTAGGACACGTTTTGATATTATATAATATTTTTAATTTATGCAGTGTATATTATATTTAGTATTCAATAATTTAACAAAAAAAATAAAACTAAACTTATAATACCCATCAATTTTGCAAAGAAATATAATATATCTCAAATGTTTGTATTAAACTCAATAAAATCGTAATCATAATCTAACGAATCTAATAGTCGAAACTCAAAATGCAACGCAATGTAACCTTTGAATCTTTTTTAAGTCTTTGCAACGAGTATTGGAGTGTCGAGAAGTGTTAGAGACTCAGAGTATAGTGTCAGACACAACACGTCAGAATTTTTAAAGTATCGATGCTTCATAGCTCTTTGGTAACAATCTT